GTGTATTGCAAAGTTGTATTGAGAAAAATAAACTAGTTTTATTCAAGAAAGAACTTGTATCACTGAAGGTTTTCGGAAAGAATTTCTACGGAAAAATTAACGAACGAACACAGAGGCGTAACAGATTCTAAGTTCCTGATCTAAGTAAAATAAATTATTTAGTGAATTTCCTTGCTAGAACTTTCTGGTTAAATAGCCTATTAAAAACATGATATATTTATTACCCTGTGGCAGATCTCTCAATTGATGCTCCAACATGGTACTGCTGTAGCTGCATATTCTGTTTCTTTTGTGGACCTATCTACTCATAGCATAGATCACATGCTTTATATCAATTGGTACATAGCTCTATAAAAGTGTTATCTTACTCTCTTCAATGTCCAGCTGTTGGAAGATTATAAACATAATGGAGTGTGGATTTGAAAGTATCAACTGTTGTCGTTATTCCTGTCTACTGGGATCTTCCTGTTTCCGACATAACAAGCCTTCTTTTAGGTATAATGAATTTCGCTATATCCAATACATCTATTTTATTGGCTATATAGAGCAACTATTTACCGGTATATGGCTAAATTAATTAGACAGTAATGTATTCTAACAGTTCTCAATAACTGCTCAATAATGTTTTCCAGCTGACTATAGTAACTGCTCAATAATGTGTTCTACCTGACTATAATAACCTCTCAATAATGTATTCTACCTGACTACAATAACCTCTCAATAATGTGTTCTACCTGACTACAATAGTCACTCAATAATATGTTATATATATGGCCAAATTAATTAGACAATAATGTATTATAACAGTTCTCAATAACTACTCAATAATGTGTTCCATCTGACTACAATAGACACTCAATAATTTTGTGAGATTAACAAAACCCACTTCCTCTACACAAATTCCTTGAAAAAAACACGTTAGTTTTGTTTGACTACTGACTGTAAACAAGTATTCAAAAGACTGAACAAGGTATTCACCACTACTCTTGTAGTGGAATAATAAACTTTGGAAGATCCACTCAATTTAAGTACAGATTCCAGTGATTTTGCAATGGGAGCAGTTTATCACAAGTACAACAAGGGAACGAACTTATGATTGCCTATTATAGCAAGGCAATTAATTCCACACAAAGGTGATATTATAGAAATCGAAAAGAGTTTCTAAGAGTCACTTCCTCATTTACCTATACCAGGTCATTCAGCATTTGATTGACTGGATTGAATTTTCACAATCCAACTGGCAAGATGGCTTTCGAAATTACAGGACTACGACTTTGACATCAAAGTACCTGGTGATGACAAAACCTTGTCGAAACGTTGTACATTTGCTGTTATGTTAAACTTATATTAAAGTTTTTCTTCATTACCCATTCAAGCCATCTCCAAAAATTATTAGTCTCAAAGTGGGTTCCTCGTCATCGAATTTGACAGCATGTATTATCCAGGATAGAACCATTGAAATAATGATGCATTATCTCATAATTCACGTATTAATGAAGATTTTCAAACACTATGCAAATATGGAACCATGAAATAGTAAAGACAATCCACCTAAAGTACAAAAAAATGTCTAACTTTCGAAAGCGCTCGGGTTATAAGGTATCATAATTTGGTGTTAAATTGATTTCTTGAACCTATGTGTTTTTCTTGCATCATGAGAGTGTAGTCTAAGATGACAAGTGATGACAAAGAACTAAAATGGTTCATCACCCAACTGACAAATGCTCAGCCTAAAATAAACGAGTTTGAAACCTATTTTGCAATGGAAAACCTTCAAGCTGACTATAGTAACTGCTCAATAATGTGTTCTACCTGACTACAATAATCTCTCAATAATGTGTTCCACCTGACTACAATAGCCACTCAATAATGTGTTCCACTAGACTACAATAGCCACCCAATAATTTGTCGGGAAAACATTAATGAGCAGTTATGGAGAACTGTTAGAATACTTTATTGTCTAATTAATTTAGCAATATATGACAAATTATTGGGTGGCTATTGTGGTCTAGTGGAACACATTATTCAGCAGTTATTAAGAACTGTTGTAACACATTATTGTCTAATTAGTTTGGCCATATATGACAAATTATTGGGTGGCTATTGTGGTCTAGTGGAACACATTCTTGAGATGTTATTGTAGTCAGCTGGAACACATTATTGAATAGTTATTGAGAACTGTTATAATACATTATTGTCTAATTAATTTGGCCATATATGACAAATTATTGAGTGTCTATTGTAATCAGGTGGAACACATTATTGAGTCATTAATTTAGCCATATATGACTAGCTATTGTAGTCTAGTGGAACACATTATTGAGAGGTCATTGTAGTCAGCTGGAACACATTATTGAGTGGTTATTGAGAACTGTTATAATATTATTGTCTAATTAATTTAGCCATATATGACAAATTATTGGGTGGCTATTGTAGTCTAGTGGAACACATTATTGAGAGGTCATTGTAGTCAGCTGGAACACATTATTGAGTGGC